GAACGATTTCTTGTTGCCCGTCTCTAAATTTCTTGGATCCTTTACGAGAAAACGCGTACTTTAGCTGTTTTGCGGATTTCTCAGCTTGTTTTAGAAAGCTCTTAGCAACATCCTTCATATGACCTTTACCTGAATTCTCTTCCAGATCCAAGCTCTCACATTCTATACTCTTTCCCGAGAGAGGACCCGAGAGATTGTCATCGACGATGAATTTAACTCCAACATCTTTTTGGTTTATTGCTTTCACATTGATCCGAGGAGACTGAGACTGCGACTCGTCCTCATCAATGCTTCCTATTAAAAATTCTTCCTTTTTGCCATGCCTATGAAATACCGACCCAAGTTTCCTCAGTCCCCTACCAACAGACTTCATTGGGTTCCTTGATCCCTCTTGATTTTCATCGGTGCTACTGCTTTCGTTGTTTGGTGATTCATCATTAGAAACTCTTTGTACTTGGTTATCAAGACGTCTAGTCTTACCTTTTCTCGGTTCCCAAATCTGTGAAACTTCCGCACCCGGTTTTTGAACCCAAATACCAGTCTCTTCTTGCCCTTCAATGTTTACTGGCTCAAAGCTATCCGCAACACTTGGAGATTTGTCAGATATCACCGACGAGAAAGAACCTTTGTTTGTAGTATCAGAAGCAAAAGAAGTTTGTGCGTCTTCCTTGTTTAGCTTCACTCCTTTAAAAGGATCTTCACTCCACTGTTTCACGAATGAGAAGCATAAAATCAATCTTGAAAAAACTGTCGTGGGTTCGGAGAAAATTTAGAAAAAAATTTACCTTTGCACTGTCCTCGATAACAGTTATAGCAAGATGCAGCCTTCCCATTTTAATGTTCTGAAGAGGCAACCACATATCGTTTCTTTGACCGCCTCTAAAATCTACGATATTCACTGAACACGCACTGCAACAAAAACAGGAACCCAAAATAAGAAACTATTGATATTATTCGACTCATTTGTAGAAATGACATTCGTAGTTCAGGAACAAACCCAAGGGTATCATCCACAAATCGATCTTTGTCTTTAACTTCAATGTCAAGTATACTTGGAGTGTCCCATGTAAAGATTGGTATCTTAAACTCTTCTTGCCATATTGGGGACAATGTTTTCTTCTTTATCTTGGTTTTGAATCGGTAAGCACCGAGTTTCCCTTTCACGTAAGGATCAGCCAAACCTGAAACCAAAACACCCAAAGTTTTTGACAGAGAAAAGGAAAGAAGCTAACGCTTGTCGTAATATTCAAACTGACCGTTTAAATCAGATGGTTTGACATCTGATGCTTCAAAGACTTCAACTAAGACGTGTGCAACTGGTTCTTTCTCATCCACAAAAAACCAATTCTCTGGAGGCCAACACAGACAAAAGGTGCAAGTTAATGAAAGCTTAACAGATATTGATGAATGTAGAGAAACCGTTACAAGCGAGGAAATAACAAATAGAAATACCTGACTTTGGGCTAACAAATTTCTCCATATCAACAACCAGCATATTTGGCTGCAACCAAAATGCAAAGAAAACAAGGAAAAGCTAAAAATAAACAAATTCTTCAAACGGAGCCATTCGTAGCCTACTACAAGAGTCTTACCTGAACAAGGGTCTGTTCAAATGCGATAGAAAGAAGCTTGTCCTGATTACAAAATTAAGGAATTGGAGTAACTTTTAGAAGTGTCGAAAAAACCAAAAGTACGAAGAAATAAGATGTAAAACTCTTGTTAAGGCTATGAGGTTGTGAGGTACTTACTAGCCATCCTGCGATGCCTGGAAGTACAGCAACATCAAGCCCGTGAGTGAAGATTGGTTTAACAGTCATCTGAAAATATGGAGGCTCTGCAAAACAAACACGTAAACGTCCCAAGAAAGGCCATCGACGAAGAAACTTCACTCCGATCAACACCTTCAAGAGTAGAAGCAAAACAAAGTGTTTACAAAAATGAAAAAAGGTCACATTCAGATGAAGAAAAGGCTACACTACCTTTCCTTCCACGTGCATTCCCGTCAAATGCAACTTTGTCCACATCCCGAAACCAAGCCTTTTTCTTAGTTTCACAGCAAGTATTGCACTCATATCATCTGCTGCGAGAAAGTTCATTCCTAGTTCCAACACCTGTATAGTAATTAGTCCAGCATAAGTTCTCCTTATGCTATAGATAATTGAGGGAAGAGGTTAAGATATGATGTTCTATGAGGCGTTGCAACTATACCAAGTGATCATCACCCGTAGATTGGCGAAGGACCCTTATATCAGTCAACAGAGGCGGGTTTCTTCCCATGTAAAGGTGTTGTATCACAGCTTTTTTCTACACACAACATTGTACAAAATGTCACTAATTAACAACTACGATGTGATCTCGAAATTAAACCAAAACGCCAGTCGCAGAGCTGTTGAAGTACTAGAAGAAACAGAAACAGAATTAAGACCGATAAATACCGCTGTCCAAGGTCTATACTTATCCAAGAACCAAGGTATGATTGGACCAAGAATCTTTTGCGACGCAATCTGTTCCATACATATAGGCCATATCTTCTCCACAGCGTGATTCAACCACCGCACAGATTCAGAATCCGATAGAACCTGAAAGATGCATAGCAAATAACAAGCTTCATCCTTCGAAAACAACACAAATCCAAATGAAGTTAACCACAGATAACAAAACACAAGCGAAATCGAAAGAGCAAGTATCCTTAGCACCAAGTCAGTCCATGAATTGGCTTAAAAAGCCAAAACTTTCACATGCTTCACTATACTATTTCAACCATTACATGCTTAAAGGATAATCTTTAAGGACTCTATGCCTCAAACCAAACCAAACAATAAACAGATAAAAACATTAAAGATACAATTTTTCCACCTAATGAACAATACAAACATACCCTTCTCTGATTAGCTTGTTTCCTCTCTTCGAATTGTAATGTTCTCTTCAATCTCATAACATACCGTTCATGAACCTAAAAGATAAAACCAAAAAACAAAGCAAAACTTTTTCTTTACACATTCAATCAAATTCAGACAAAGTACCAAAACATCAAGAAAGCAACAACAGTACCAGGTAGAGATAAATCAGAGAGAGGAAATAGAAAATGGCGTGAGATCGATTTAACCAAGAGAGAAACCATTGAAACAGTAACACGATCACGATATGATGGATTAGAAAAGACTCCATCAAAAAACCCAGAAGAGAAGAAACGATAAGAAGTCTAAAGATCAAATCTTTATCGCTTCAATGATAAGAAAAACCCATTTAAGACAAAAGGAATCAGTCATCTGAATAGATTCGGAGGTGTTCTGATTAGAAAGATCAGACAAAGAGTTACAGATTTTGTTAAATCGACGAGTTTGGATTTACTGTGGGGTTTCCTTTACTCAAAAGTCTATAGGAAACAGAAATCGTTGACTAAAATAATCAGAAAAATGTTTGAGATTTCCTTTTTTTTTTATCTTTTTGGTAATTTGCTAATTACGAAGATATTGAATTTTTTTTTTTTGGTGAATATTACGAAGATATTGAACTGTCTAGTGAATTGGAATTTTAGTTTTGATTTAAAAATTAAATTGATGTCTTTTTGTGATTTTTCTATGTGAAAGGTATGGTTTTGATATATTTTTAAGAGATCAAACATATATGCCAAAAAGAAGAAGAAAAAAAATGTATACTTATCTATTCTTATTTTTAAAATTAGCAGTTATCATGTATTGAACTCAAACCCAAAAGTTATAGTATTTCCACTAAAAGATGAATTTGGTCAAATATCTAAGAATTTTTTAAAAACTATGAACAAAATAATAATTTTAAAAACTAAGTTGTAAATAGGATTTTAGTAAAATCGAAGGGATAGTTAATATTATATCATTATGACAGTCATAATTTTATTTATTTAATCATTTTTAACGTTAAATACATGTATAGATAAATATCTAAACGGGTCTCCTAATTCAAAATACTATTGATAAAAATAAAATAAAAATCACTTTTAAAATATATCCCCCATATATATAACATATCTCGGTACTTTTGCTCCATCCTTTATGTATTTAGACAATTGCTAAATAAACGAAATTGTGAATATATTAATGTGGTCATATGAATTTTTTTTAAAATCTTTTAATTTTTTTCAACAATCACCACTAATCTAACCCAAGACTATCACCGTATAAATCCTAGATGTTACTGTGTAGCACTTATAAAACAATAACTAAACATCTCTTTTTCATTATAGATCATTGTAGTTTGTCATGAAGAAGAGTTCTTAACCAATTTTC